AAATCGAGCTAAGATTAAATAAGACAGAATTCCTGTGTTTGAAGAGTATATTGCAGAGGTAGCTATGCAAATAAATATGATAACAGAAATAAACCTTTTATAACAAATAGTAACAATAAACTCCAGTTCCATATTAGGGCCACACCATTTCTCTAGTTCCCTTACATTTTTGTTCTTTGCCCTCTCATACCTTACACTTCAACCATACAATACTTGGAGTTATCCATATGCACCATGGTTGTATTCTTCCAAATTTTTGAACTTACTTACTTGCTTTGCCCAGATTATCTTTTCTCCCTGCTTTATTTAGGTAACTTCTATTCATCTTTCAATTCCGAGCCCAGAAATCACTTTCTCTGACTCCCCCAGAATGTTACTCCTTTCCCACTATTCCCACAGTGGTCAGGATGAGGTGGCCCTCCTCGGAGCTCCCAGAGTATGCTGAATCTACTGACCTCTATATCACAGCTCCTATCACACTGAGCTCTGGTAGCTTTTTACTCTTCTAGCTTCCACTACACTATGGAACCACATCTTCATCATTACATCTGTGTCATCTAGCACAGTGTTCAACATAATGTCAAGCATTTAATCAATGTTGAATGAATGACACATTCCTTAAGGGAAATATATTAAATATTGGTGGGTGGGGATGATACATAGGAGAACAGAGGAAGTAAAAGAAGTGACATAATTAAACACAGAGATGAAAAAGGGGATGGGAGAAGGGAAGAGAGATAAGAAGACAACCATCTGGACTGACACTGGGAAGAGAAAGAAGGAAGACAATAAGGGAGAGAAAGGGAATGGTAGAGAAGGAGAAACAAGTCGTGAAAACAAGCTGAGACAACCACACAGTGGAGAGACTGGAAGAGAATCTCCTCTTTAATAATCCTGTTCTCAACAGTTTTTATCATATATTCTGTTGTGCTCTTTCACAGTCTGTGTGCATATGCCCTATCTCTCACATAAAGCTGCAGCTCTGAGGAAACTCTGAAGGAACTTTTAAAATTTTTTAATGTCCTAAATAGCATCTAGCACAGAGCTCTGCATGTATAGAGGGCACTCAATAAATACTTCTTGAGATGAACTAAAAGAGTCAAGGTGAAGCTCAGATTCTGAAATGAGTGTTAGCTGGGAGGAAAGCAGGTATTGTTAACACACCTGGACAACAGTGTTGCCACTGCACATTGCAAACAAAATGATCCTTTCTTATACTAGAGAGAAGCTAGTCTGTTTTTATTTTCAAATATGACTTTGTAAATGTTAATTTTTTAAAAACCTTACAAGGTTTTTCATCTTTCTTAAGGGATGACTCTAGTTTTATAAATTTGAACTCTCGGTTGTACTGGTTAACTTACTGCCTATTCTTGAAGGCTTCTTTGATATTTAAAATTTGTCAGACCTTTTTATATTTTTATCCTGAGAAACTGGGGCTGCTTTATCATTGAATGAATTCTGGAAAATTACATTTAGAAAGAGCAGTCATTTCTTCTAGGCATTTTCCCAAATCCAACTTAAATCCATTTTTTTTTTTTTCGTGTGGTGTATTTCAGAGGTATTAATTTTTTTTTTTTTTTTTTTTTTTTGAGTCCAGGGGTTCCAAAGAGGGGCTTCAGTCCAAAGTAGGAGGTACCAGATACCTGCCAAGTTGTCAGGCTCTGGTTCTGGACGTCACTCAACAAGAGAGTGTGCTTTCATTTGCGTGACATTTCTTTTGAAAGATGTTTGAAAACCATGCTTGAGAGGTGTCAATGTAGAATGAGAATAGTAATAAAATCTCATAAAGAATTAGTAATCATTATTCCCTGCTTTTCAACTGAACTTAGCAAACTTTAGAGGTTGTTCCCCAAATCTTCCTGAGGAGTCAGATCCTGAGGAGTCGCCTGATCATGGGACTTCTGTCTGACAAGAGATAACAACTAGACACAGTCCTATCCATCACCCAACCTTCTGTACCACCTTTTCCTCCTTATATTCCACTATAATAAGTATAATAGAGTCACCAACAGGTACAGCTGCTAAGATCTGTTTTAAAATATTTGATTTTGGAAAAATACTTCTGAGAATACTGCTCTAGAAATGGATTTTCTTTACATCCAGATTTTAGTTAGGAAATAATCCTGTCTTAAAACAAAGGTTGAAAGCACAAGGCATGGGGACAGGGAGTTACACTTACCAAAAGACAGGACCTGGGGGGAGGAAAGGTTGAGACCCAACATGAGACCTTATTGTTTTTTTGGCTTCTCTGAGAATAAAGGTTCAAGGAGGGGGCGGGGAATTCACAGAGAGGGCTATTTCCAGTCCAGCAACGGTTAACACCAGAAGTCCTAGGTGAAGTAGGTATACTAACAGTTGAGCTGAGTCAAGTAATGGGATGTCCCAACCAGTGCTTTTAAAGTTGGACAGGTGGGCAGGTAGGTAGCATCTAGAAGGTCTGTCAACAATAATGGGGTCCTTAGTCACTAGACTAGTGTTTAGGGGCAGAGCGTTAGGCCCCTAGATGGAAAAGATGTAGTCAGGGTTCTTCTACAGTTAATTGGGACATTACCAGCTTATTGGTGTGGGTATTAAAAAGAACAAAATAAAATTTTTACTCTACAAACTGGCACATGGGACAACTGGATCTTTGGAGCATGAGGGCAAGTATCCCATTATTATAAAAGAGGAAGACACAGGGAGTTGTACTGCCCCAGAATGACTTGGGAACTGAGTGGTAAGTACCAAGATCCCATGTCATGGATCACTAAGTGGAGATTGTGGAGATATCATGTGTTAAGGTATAAGAGAAGGTAAAGTCAGGTAAAATGAGGCTGGGGTAGAGAGTGCTGAGAAAAATCAAAGGTGTGCTGTGACTTTAGATCTTTTTTCACAGTAGGCAGTGATCATAAATTCTTAAACCTAAAGGCAAGACTTAAGTAATTCTATTGCTTTTTTAAGTTTGGCAGGAGAATAATTAAATAAATTGACCTCTAAGAAATGCGGCCTAGTAGTAATCTTTGACAATGACTGTAAACAGAGAAGGGAGTTGCTATAAACATAGCTAGCTCATTCTTTTTGTGCATATTTATGTTAAGTAAACTTGATGGTCTTTGGTCACATCCTTGTTTTATTTTAGAATCCTCTCAGGTGCTGGGTTGGTGTTCAGAGGGACACACTCGAACTATGGGTTACTGAAAGAGTTGGGCTTTTAGCCTCCAAAAGACCTGGATGACAGCTGAAAGAAGGCTAAAGAATACAGAGGTAAAACAATTTTATAAAGAGGGCTTTGAATTTTATTTTCTAGAAAACAGCCCTTACATACAAATCCCTTTACTTTTACTTGTGAACACTGAGAGTTTGATTTAGTGTGGTGATACGAATAATTTAAAGGTTGCTATTGGTGATTCCTAAGGATGCCTATGTACTTTTGGCATACAGAAATCATAGCTTTTTAAGACCAGAAGGGACTTTAAAGGTCATTTAAATTAAATTGCTTCATTTTACAATTGAAAAGAATGAGGTCTGCAAAAGTTACATTACTTGCTTAATGCTAGGGTGTGAATGGCTGGGCCTGGACTAAAACTCACGAAACTTGGTATCTAATCTACTAGTGTTTCCTTACCATGCCTGTGCTACCTTAGATGACAACCTCAAATTAAAAAAAACCCCAATCTCCCTAAAAAACCCAACCAAACACACACACACACACAAAACTTTAATCTGAATTTGTTCTAATTTTCAAATCAATTTATTATTTCCTCTGAGAATTAATGATGGGCATTTCAGTAATGCTGGTGCTAGTTTTGTCATGCCTTTCTGTACAAGCTCAAAATGTATCCATTAACTTTCCTGTTTAAAGTTTCCTACTTTAATCTTCAAACGGTGGTGATGAGTTCTAGGTGCATCATTTAAAAAATGTATTTGAAATGAGGTTTTTTTGGGGCTTTCAATTGTCCTGGACCTGATGGATTTTTACCTTTTAAGGACAAGCATTTGGGTAATCAATTAGAAAACTCTATTAAATATTTTTCTCCTTTATCCAATATACAGAAAAGGAAAGGAAATTCTGGTCTGTTTTTCATTTTGGTCAAATTCTTTTGCTAATTTCTCAGTGATTTCTGCTACGTATGTGAACTATGACCATATACGAAAATGTTCTGTTTTAGGTCATGGCTGTGGGTAGAGATTAATTGGTGAAAAATGGGCCTGTTTGTGGGATTTACCACACAGTAAGGTTTCTCATCTCCCTGGAAAAATGTGGAATTAGCTCTTTGAGAAATGCAGGCCTGTAATGAGGTTGAAGGGAGAGTTTTGGTAGAGGGAAACACAGTTCACTCTCTAAGGCAGTTATGATTGGTTAGATTCCAGAGCAGTCCGTTTGCTACAGCAAAGTTCTTTTCTACCCACTTTCAAGTTAGTTTCGGCAATACTTCACAGATAGCGTCTTGTTTGGTTTCTATCAAGGCCAACCTATCCAAACTGGGGAGTGGTCTTGGAGAGGACTCCTAGCCTTCCTATCCCCTCCCCTCAAATGTTCTGTTACAGTGAAAAAGCCTCCAATTTGGAAAGAATGCTTGTGACAGCATATCTTCTATGCTGTGTTGTAGTGGGATACAAGATGTGAACCAGAGCCTATGTATGGCAAGGGTGCAAAGCGGAGGATGGGACACTGGGTCCTCGCCTGTGAAGATAGTTCCTGAGCAAGACTTGGATGCTCCCAGAGTGCACTCCACGTGCACGTTCCTCCCTAAAAGCCACTGCAAGGATCCTGAGCCTGCTGCGTGGCCCAACGATCCACGTTGCTGTCGAGGCCACAGGGATTAGGATTTCTTCGCAATGGCCTTGGTGGCTGATCCTTGCCAGGTCACAGCTCTGCTTACACAGTCCGATGGCCCAGCCTGAATCGGGCTGAAGTTAGAGGCACCCCCTCCCCCGCCTCTCCCACCCCCAGCTTGGTATTTTCCCCTAGACATTCCCCTCGGAGACTACAAACGCCCTCTTTCCCAAGGACCCGAGTGATGACCTATCGGAGCCTGGCCGGTGTCTCTGACTTACCCCCAGACGAAACCTGTGCGCCTGGAGTCCCAGGGATGGCGGGCTTGCCCCTTCCATCAGAAGGTGACCCCGCCCGTCTCGCCCAGCCCAGGCAGGTCTTCGGACTGCCGCGGCAGCGCTCTTCGCCGCCGGGTTGGGCGGCAGCGGCGCGAGCGGCGGCGGGACCGAGCG